GCCATGTTACAAAAAGCAAGAGTTGTTTAACTTGTAGAAATGGTTGCTATGCATATGATGTCAATTTGATGCCAACTTTATCGTACATCGCAGTTAACAAGCAACTGCAGGGCAGGTATAAAATTTAGCGGGCTTTATTAGTAACATCCAGAAAAGTGTTTGGTGCCCTCTGGTGGCCATAACAGAGGTCCAGTTCAGGGACTCCAGCTAGCTGAAGTTAAATCTAGCAGACAGTCAGCAGCTTCAGCCGTGTCACCATCCACCTGTCAGTCAAAGAGGTCACGCCTCTAATAATGCAAAGTTTAAACCTTTATACAATTTAATTTGTAAACCTGTTTAAATAATTTAAACAGGTTTACATATAAAGGGGAAATCAAACGTCTTTTTTTCTGCTGTAAAGTTTTAACATGGGAGTCTAAGGGGCTCAAGTCAGGTTGCTAGTTTAATAATAAAAAATAATACATTAAAAAAAGCCTTGACCTCCCAGATTTGGACATATGCTGTATTGGTAGCTGAGAGAGCCATGGATGACTTAAATACTTGTTGATCCACGTAATCTAAAATCTTCTGTGATCAAATAACTGAATAATAAAGACCTCTTCTGTCTGTTTAAGCTTTTGGGGGTGGACCTTCTCACAGTTTATTCACAGACTCAGATCCAATCAGACTTACAGTTCAGTCTGATAAACGTCCCCATCGGGTGCCAAACAGCAGTCTCTCAGACTGGCAGATACAGAGATGTTCAGGCTGCTGCTCCTGCTGTTTTTAACATGGATGACCTCAGCGCTGGTCAGGTAGGACAATTACACCTTTGTTAATATGGTTGTTCTCTTTATATTAACAGCTGTCCATCCACCAGGGATTTAACAATATAAAGTCTGATTTTCTTCTTTGTTGTACATTTATCGAGGTGCTGTTTAGTGGACCTTCCTCTGTTGAGCCAAAACTAGGCCAACTGTTTTCAAATCAAAAAAGACAATTTGATATAAAAAGTTTACAGAGATACTAAAATGTTCCATCGTCAGCATACCTCTTAGACGGACGCGCTCAATTCGTACTCGATTGCGAGCTGATGGCCTGCTGAATGAGTTCCTGAAGGATCACGCCCCTGACATGATTAATCGCCGTTACGCTCAGTGCTTCCCGTCCAGCACGCCGTCACTGAGGCTCGGACGCACCAGCGAGAGGATCTACAACTTCATGGATGTAAGAAGAACAACACTGAGAGTTAGGGTTGCTGGTTCAAAGCCTTCAGCTATTATCAAAATATCCAGTGAGAAGTTTTAACCTTGTTACAGTGATTTAAATATTCCTCTAGGGGTCAGTGTTGTTCATAAATATGCTGATTTGTTAAGAATGATTATCAGATTTAAGGGAAAGTTGCTCAGTTCCGAAATATCAGTATGTCCTAAGTATGCAACTCAAGCTGGACAGAAGCAGTATTAAGTATTATTACAGAAGCAGAAATAAAAGAAATAATAAATAAAAAGTTATCATTTGTACTGCATTTCCATTCTTTATGTCCTCACAAGATATATGTTCCCAAAGTAAGACGTAGTTATTTCCTACATATAGAAGCTTTAAAATGAAAACAACACAGCCCAGTTTACTGAATAGAAACTAACTTAACTAATTTATACTATGAAAACAAAGGGAGTGCCAAGCTGGCCAAAATATGTTAGCATACATGCTAACATTAGCATGAGCATGTCACAACCAGCTACCTTTTTATTTATCTCAGAATTTTTCAAATTAAAATCTCAGCCACACTTTGTGCCCCTGCTGCGTTTCAGGCTCAGTTTTATGGTGAGATCAGTTTGGGGACTCCAGAGCAGAACTTTTCTGTGATTTTTGACACTGGATCAGCTGACCTCTGGGTGCCATCATCCTACTGCATCAGCGAGGCCTGCGGTAACACCTTACATAGCACCACACAATACCACACAACACCAGTGTTGCATTTGCAGGTCAGGGCAGCCTGACTTTGGTTTATTTTGTTCCAGTCTGATAAGAAGTTCAAAGTCTGTGTGTGTCTGTGTGTACTTGTATAAAGATGTTGTAGGCACATAAATCTGACAAAGGCAAGTCCACATAAAGTAAATAACATGTAATGAATATAAGAAAAGATAATGTCTATGTGTGTGTTTGCATTCACAGCGCTCCACAAGCGTTTCAAGGCATTTAAATCAGCTTCGTTCAGGCATGATGGTCGGAGATTTGGGATTTACTACGGATCAGGTCACCTGCTTGGAACTATGGCCAGAGACACACTGAAGGTCCAAAAGCTCTCAAAATTAAAAAGCTAAACTTCAGTATTAAAATTAACTAACAGCTGCCACGATTAATTTCAAAAATATTTTCATCCATCAAACTCAGTTTGACATTCAGGCACAACTAAAGGAGTACTGTTTTATCTTAATCAACTTGTTCCAGATTGGTGGTCTAACCATCCTGAACCAAGAGTTTGGGGAGTCCGTTTTCGAACCTAGTGAATCATTCCTGACGGCGAAGTTTGACGGTGTTCTGGGAATGAGTTACCAATCCCTTGCAGAGATTCTGGGCACCAATGTTTTTGACAACATGATTGCACAGAAGCTTGTGGACCAGCCAGTGTTCTCCTTTTACCTGAGCAGGTGCATTCATATCAGGAGCTCACCATTTCACCTCAATTAGATGCTCATTGTCATGCTCAGAGGAGCATGAGAGGGAGGATAATTACTTCTTCCTGTCTATTAACCTCTTACTACCCACCTGGTTGTTGGCAGCCCTGCTGAAAATATGGATGGGTTTACTCTTACATTGTAGATGTTAAGAGGGTTTATTTTTAGAATTTCTGGGTAAGCAGCTTTAAAAATCATGCTTTGAAACAGGCAGAAGTTTCACAACTAGTTCTTAAGTTTTGATAGAGTTTTGGTTGGTCAAGAGGGAAAGGCAGAGCAAGAGATAGCCACAGAGAAATGGAAAGGTCAAGGGTAACCAGGAAGTTCAAAGGGGTTTTACTGTGAGCTGTGGAGATGAGAGTTTTTCCCAAGGTTTCAGTTTTTTAAATAGGGTCTGCCTAGTCTGTGTCTAGGTCCAAGACTTATAGACTTCCTACCATCTACAGTGATATCAGAACAAATCCGCTTGGCTTCACTGACAAGAGCATCTGGTGAGCAGTGTTTCAGAGATACTTGATGTTTGGGGAGGTCTTATGGCTTCTAAGTATGCTTAAGTACGACAGGGTAATTCTACAATTTTGATCATAGACATGTTAGGATAAAGAAGAACAATCACCAGGTGAACCAGGAAGATCCACATGGTTGTAATTATTTAAGCATTCCTCCAGTGTTTCAGGGGTCCAGTCCAAGAGTATCTGGTTAGGCACTCGACAGAGATGCTGTACTTCTTGAGGGATATAAATGTGTTTGTTGTTTTTAATATGAGAGTTCTTATCTTTTGTTTATGTAAATGTGAGTTTTGTGCCCGCAGAAAAACCGGCCGTACCAATCCAGCAGGGGAACTGTTGTTAGGTGGAACAAACGAAGCGCTGTATATTGGACCAATCAACTGGCATCCTGTCACTGCCAAGGGGTATTGGCAGATCAAGATGGACAGGTACATTTTTCATATCCCAACAGCACAGCACTTTGGCAGTGTACTATGAACCACTTACAGTAGGGGAAATGGCACAAGACCTTTACCCTTTCTTGTGAAGACATTCATTAATAGAAACATAAAAATGCTTAATATTTCAGTGTAGCAGTACAAGGTGTGAACTTGTTTTGTCCAAGTGGATGTCAGGCGATTGTTGATACTGGAACTTCCCTCATTGCTGGACCAACCAATGACATTCTGAGGCTCCAACAGCTGATTGGAGCAACACCCTCAAACTTGGGAGAGGTACCAAAATATGTCATCTCATAGTCTACTGAAAGACCAGAGAAAGTTATGACTTTTTCAAAGAAAATGTTTAACCTACAGAGGGGACACTTAGACCTACTACTTATTCCTGCTTCAAAAACAATATCAGATATTTCTTGAGAATACTATATGACTACCGTAACTGAATTTTTTCAGCATGTCACTCCTCATTTTGTGTGTTTCAGTTTGTTATCGACTGTGCCAGGTTGTCCAGTTTGCCTCAGGTGACTTTTGTCCTGAATGGAACAGAGTACACACTAACAAGTGAACAGTACATCAGGAAGGTAAGGAAGGCTTATTGTTTTCTTTAGCTTGTGTTAGAACAGCTGCCAGTCTTCTCTTTCTTTTTATTTTCTTTTTCTTTCTTTATTTTTTTGATAAAATAGTAGGAAGGGTAATTGTTTTGGCGTATTCAAAAATGCGTATTATTTTATTATTTTAATGATGCACCTGTCAAATGGCTGAAATCAGAGATTGTTTTGAAATGCAGCTAGCATTTAAACTTCTGTTTATAGATTCTTTGCTCTTTTTTTTTTTTTTACCTCACGCCTAAAAGAAACCACATAAAAAAATTCATAAATAGATCATTAATACATTGAGACTTAAGTGCAAATTTAGTAATTTGGCAGCTATATTTATTTTATATACTTTCATATTTTTACTAACAATTAAAATTGCTTAAGAAATAGAATGTCTCTTTTATACATGAAGCTACTAAACAACTACACAATCCACTTTTTGTCATTATCAGGAGACACTTGGCAGGAATGAGTTCTGTTTCAGCGGTTTCCAGGCTATGGACATTTATTCCAGCACAGACCCTCAGTGGATTCTGGGAGATGTATTTCTGACAGAGTACTACTCCATCTTTGATAAAGGACATGACCGGGTCGGCTTAGCACGTGCCAAACACTCTCCTGAACCATAACTTATTGGCGAACTCAACAGTAAATAAATACTGCACAATTGAAAAGCATTTTGTCATTCTCTGGCCTATTATTGTTCTCACATCATTCTCCAAATACATCAAGGACAAACAACTGTCTAGAAACTGCTGAATATTGCTGACAATACATTAGCCATTACTTCTGCCCCAATGACCACAAAGTTAACATTTTATTTGAAAAGGTACAGTTATTGGAGATTTAACAGCAGCAACAGGGATTGTACATTCATCACTTTATCTACATTTACAAAAGCACGTGTGATTTACAGTAATCACGGAAAGAAAGAAGATTTTGTTCTTATCCCCTGAGTACCAGTGTTTCATTAAGTGTTACAGTTCCTCTAATGGCCACCAGATGGCATCCAAGAAGAGTTTATTGAAGTGGATGAGAAACCCCCCTCCCCCCCCATTCTTTCAGCATAAACAGCTAACTTGAAATGTTCCCATGTGGGCTGGAAATTATTCTTCAGCTAGAAAAATCACAAAGATACATAGGCTTGTTTTTTTTTGTTGTTGTTGTTGTTTGTTTGGGGTTTTTTTGCACACGTTTCAACTCTAATAATTGTTGATTATTTTGTCTCATTTTGCCTCATTTCTAATTTTTTAAGGAATCATCTATGGGGGTTTTGTAATCTTTGGAATACCAGGATTAAAGAGTAATTCCAGCAAATTTCTTTTTAATGTGCTACTTAACGTCTCATTGGGCCATGCTTAATTTGCACATTCTGATACAAAAATTCAGGGAAAAGAAAATTCACACAAAACACCATATGGTGAGTTAAACAGCACAATTTTTATGTATCTTTATGGAAAAAAAAATCGCATTTGGACTGTAGATGAATATGCAGATAATTAGCTTAAATCGGCAGTTGCCCTGGATGAAGTTCCTGAATTGAGATGGCAAAATGAATGATCTAAGTGATGGATTTCAGTGTTTAACCATCCAGAGTCTGGCTCATCACAGTGATTCATGATTTCCCATTTTAAATTTGAAGTTCACCATTTAGTACAAGGGTTTACAAGGGTACAAGTTTTAAACTTGTTCAATTTCCAAGGTATTTCAGTCAAGTAATTAAGATTGGGCATAAATATATTGTTGGATAAAAATATTTTTCAGTAACTGTATGAGAAGATCTGTTTTTGGGGGGCTTTTTTTGGGGGGGGGGAAGCATTTTTTTTAATGTGTGTTACTACAATGATTGATTTAATTATAAAATGATTTGATTGCTAGAATGAGGAAGCTTGGGAGAACATTTCTTAAAAAAAACACTACATGCTATTAAACATTGTCAGCGGGGTCAGGAGTATTTATCTTTAATAATAAGTTAAACCTCACAGGATTAAAATGGGGGTTCATGCTAGAACTGAAGAATAGTTGTTTGCGGTTTATTTTTTGATAGATCATGGTGGCAACAACTGATAAACCCAAAAACCTAGCTTAAATACATCCCTTAAGAGGCCATGTATATCCTGTTTTCCAAGTATTTTTGGTTAAAAACAACAACAACATTAAAGAGTCTTCTTCTTAGGCAACGTGGGTATTCATGTTACTCAGTTTGGTCTTACTGAACAGCTGAAGTTGTGGCTGGTTCTTATTTCTTTTCGAAACTCTCTGATTGGGAGCTGGTGTTTTTGACCTCTTCATTGTCGTTGGTTTCTTCCTTCTCATCCTCCTGAGTCCCTGTTATTCCCTGGAAGTCGTAATCGGGGTCAGGGAGCTGCAGAGTGTCTGAGGTTGGACCAGGGGATCTCCTGGACTGGAATCGAGCCAGTCCTTTTCTCCGCCGCCCCAGTCCTTTAGGACTTGGCAGGCTGCGGACCGATGCCTTTGAAGTCTGCCTGGAGAACTGGAGTGAGAACTGACGCCCCCGTGGTTTGGTTGGCTGACGATTATGGCCATTGACAGTTGTCCACCGAAATTCTTTGGGCCCAAGTTGAGTGGGGGAACAACAGAGAGAGGACGCAGTCCTGGAAATACAAAAAGAAAAAAATTAATTCTCACCTAAAGGGCAAGTCTAAGATTATAAAATACTGGGGTATAATTATTAAATTTTCAAAACCTTTTATCTCAAAATGAAGTTTGATGGCCGAACATGGAGTTGAATATCGTTAAAAAGGACACTGGCTGATCACCTTAGGGTTTCTGAGCCTGGGGCTTCATCAGTGGGGGAAGGATTCAGGCCATTCTGAGGTTTGGTATACGAATCCACATTCTGGCAAACGTCGCCACATAATGGAGGGCTGATGACAAGCTGGGGGAAAACAGAAATGGAGCTTTCCGGTGAGGGTGGGTTGCTGTTGACCTCCCTTAAGGTGGACAAAGTGTCCATGGAAGGCTGAGACATGAACAGCGAGGACAGTGGAACATTGATCCCTGGTCCTGCATTGACCCTGGATTTAGAAATGACCAACAGAAAACATAAAAGATCAGATCATTGTAATCTGTGGACAGCTGGATCTTAATATATAAATTATTAAATAGGAACCTTTGGTACTATCAGTAGGATACCAGTTACACATCTATTCATGCTTTAAATATTCTAATACCTGACATCTGGGAAGAAACTGCCAGTTGCATCACTGCTATGTCGTTTGAAGATGGGTCGAGGGGGTCGGAGGTCAGGAGGTTCCTGAACACTAAGCAGACGGCGGACCCGACCCAAAACCTGCAAACATTAAAAATATACTCAGAATCTGAACTTAAAGACTTTATCATTAGTACCTAATGTCAAAGCTTTAAATTTAACAGGTTTCAAATTGTTCTATATTTTTATTCTTCTGCTGTACAAGAGTAGCTTTGTATGATTCACAGTTCAAAAATCATTCTTATGTATCATTTACTGGACTTTGATGGTGTCCTTCAGTCCATCTTACTTATCAAACAAGCCATCCCTTTAAGGTCACCATCCCTATAAGCCAACATTTTTCTGATTGGCTGCCCCTCATAAATTAACAGCTTTGACACAACGTGGGTGGGGTTTCTGTGAATCTGATGACCAAAAAAGGAACATCCCTTCTCTGTGACATCAAACAGGTCCGAGTGCAGAAAAAAATCACCAGCAACAAAGCATTTAGAACAATTTAAAGCCTTAGGGTTTACCACACAGGGGTTACGGTATTTTCTGCACTATAAGACGCACTTAAAATCCTTTAATTTTCTCAAAAATCAACAGTGCGCCTTATAATCCGGTGCGCCATATGTATGACTTCTGGTTGTGCTTACTGACCTCGAACCGATTTTATGTGGTATACGGCACTCAAAAAATCTGTCAAAAGATGTTTTAGTATGACTTTGGTAAGCTAAGAAGCCACACCACTTGATGGATTGTCGGAGCATTATGGCTACCATAGTCAGGAGTCTCGCGGGGTAATCTCGGACCAAAACGCGTCCGCTTCAGGTCCAAAACACTGCGGCATCACTGAGCGTTACAAACTGTCTAAATTCTTTCATCTTTAATAAAATGATCAGCGTTGCTGCTTTACCAGATGTAACAATTAAGTTTAACATCCAGGCACCCATCAAAACAGAATATGTAATGTTCTGACTGAGAGATTACTGAAAAAATTAAAACGTACAGCTCTGCTATCACTTCCAACAGACCCAAGACAGAAAACTAAACAGCAGTGACTTTTGTAGGTTTACTGAAGTTGGGCTAGCTGGTATATAATGATGTGCCATGTGATCGCTAGCAACACAGCTATGTTAGCATAACATAAACACAATGAAGCTGGGGGATGAATGTTAACTTTTTTCCACTTGATAAAACCACCCGATGGTTAGGGGCAAAGGAAATCGCATGGCAGGATGCTGTAAACGGACCAAATTTCACTCAGGAGAACAACTGAGATAATCCATCTACAGTACGAGGTTGTCATAAATATACTGCAACAATATGGGAATAGAGCACCTGCGAGAGAATTCAACATTAATGAATCAATGCTGGAAGTGGTGCAAGCAAGAAGAATGAGTTGAGTAAAGTTTGTCTTATCAGACTGTTTTGTTTCGCTTAATGCGCCTTTTAATCCGGTGCGCCTTATGAATGAACACAGACAGGTTCATCGACAGTGCGCCTTACGGTCCGAAAAATACGGTACTTGTACATTGGCCTTCCTATTAAAAGGTTGGTTTAATATGAAAATCCAACACTGGAATAGGACATATATGGCAAAAAAACAAGGAAAAGTATAACAAATCCAAAATAAGGTTTAAGTTAAGGCCTCATGATTAAACTGTTTAACAAATAATATCTCTCAAGGTCAACACCCTTATTTACATTTTCACAAGTACTTATTTTTCTACTCTCTGCAGTTTTTATACTTACCTCCTTTTTTCCAGAAATCAATTTTAAATTAAAAAATGAAAGCAATAAACATTTTACCGACTCTTGGCGCCGCAGCAAAGTATAGTCCTGTTGCCGCTGATGGTCGTGGCTAACATCAGTGTCGTCAAACTGCAGGATGTCCGAGAGACTGGAAGAGACATTGAAAAAGAATTTGTCATGCTGATAAAACTTCTCTAAAAAAAACTAATTCTATAACAACTAGCACGTCTGTGACAATTCACCCACACAGACTGAGCTACAATGTGAAACATAAACTCCAACACGTCCTTCAGGAAAAATGTTTGTTCTCTAGAGGATTATAACTGTGCATCAGCCGCTAAACTTGATCCCTGACCCCATGTCGGTGGTGGAGCCAAGAAATGAGGGGATGCAGTAGTCTGCAGCAGCCAGCGTGTATGGTGGCCGTGCATCGCAGTCATTCCAGTAAATGTCTTTGGTCATGTGAGGCATGTTCATGTGCATCTCATCCACTGCCAGGAGAGACACCTGCAGGAACAGGTAAAGAGGAAGAATGAGGCGTGTTCAGTTTTCAAGAGACATTATTTATAAAAATTTATTAAGTAAGATTAAATTGGTAAGAAAATCTACCAATAATTTAACAGGAGAATCTTTCATAGTCAAATCTAATCCGGTTGATTGATTGTGCTTCTTGGAAGAATGGATATTATTATATAACTATAAGAAGGAAGAAAACTGCCTAAATCACAACTGAAAAGAGCTCAGCAATATTTTTAATTATTTTTTATACTTAAAGGAAGTAAGGAATTTATAAAAGATGGTATAATATGTTGTATTAAATATCACATTTGCTTTTCTTGTTAGTTTATTTTCTAACCTTGTTGTTGTTTCTGATTTATTTTGTCACATTTATTTATTCATTTATTTACTGCTTTCATTTTCTTCTTATTTACCAACTTGTTCAATGTTAGTTTATTTCTTTATTTCTGTTTATTTCTTTATTTTCCCATTGTATTTCCCCAATAATTCACAGATTTTGAATTACTGATTTATTTATTTTTTGTTATTATTATCTTATTTTTTTCTGCATTTTCTCTTTTTTTTATGTAAACAAGGGTGTGATTTAAAGTATAATATGGGCTAAATGTTTAGCCAGAATGAAAAATAAAACAGATTATGGAAACAACAACTTTGACCAAAATCAATAAATAAATGACAAATTAAATGGTCAGTAAATCAACAGGATGTAATACAAAGAAAAATGAATGTAGAAGCTCACTGAATGAGAAACATCAAATGTCACATTTTAGGAATCAACTGATGTCCTTATATATTTTTTCTATTATTTTGCGGTCTGTAACGCATTCTTCATTTGAGTAATTTAGTAATTTTTTCATGAATGAGTGAATTGGGTAGTTTTGGTCTTTTATATGTTTTTGTGATTTCATATTTGCAAATATATAGTCATAGTTCAAGTTCTAGCATGCTAATAAAAGTTTGAATTATTTATTCAGAACATTAACTGTTACACAAAACAATGGAAATGTAAAAACTATTTAATTTTGATTTCTATTTTCTTATAAATACAAAAATCCATGTTGTAAGCTTTGTCATTATGATTTATTTAGTGCGGATTGATGTGGAAATTCATTTAGAGTGAAATGAAACAGAGTAAAAAATAAAAGTTTACTCTAAAACTTGCTTTCGAGTAGCTTGTGTTTAAATTGTGTGTAGCTGGGCCTCATGTGGCATCATGTGCTTGACTTCCTTGCGTGATGTAAAAATAAAACCAAGTGTGGAAATGTTCCAGAGTATATTTTTGTCCAGCAGGAGAAACGTGTAGGCAGCTCCTTTCCATCTATTCCGTTCTGCTCCCTGACAAACCACAACAGTTTCTCATGTTCCCTTTCTGTCCACGATAAAGTCAAAAGTGTTTGTTCTACCAGAACAGACCCTGGAAATATAAGAGACTTTGAGCCTCCGTCATTGCTGACCTGAAGGTTCCTGTCGATGATCCAGTTTGCCTCAAAGTCATCGTCATCATCGCCAAACGGGTTGATCAGCTGCTCTGCTACCTGCCAAACAAACAAACATGTCTGAAAATCAGTCAAACTAAAAACACAAAACTGCCTATATGTAAAAAAAATAAATATTACTGCTGCTCATGACAATCGAGATGGCCGTTGTCACTGCTCTATAGGTTTCCTCGTCTCTGTTTAAGGGATTTTTCAACATTGCTTGCATTATAGTGATACCAGCATATGTATCTCCAATTTCTACAAAATATTGTTTTTGAGAGGATGTAGCAGCTCTAGTTTCTTTTACCATGACACTGAGAACAAAACATTTATAACCACACTACTTGTGACACTCTGGCTCATGCAATATTTCTGGCTCGTCTCCACCAAGTAGATTATTATTAACTTTGTGTTATTTATATAACAGAAATACGTCATGAGATGAAAGAGGTCAGCCACAAATGTATTGATGTGTTTCAAGCAGAAGAAAAACAAGATAGACACATCATTTTGTGTTATTAAATGTGTTATTAAATAATTAATCTGAAATATCTCATATAAACTTGGTCTTATTTCCCAATCAGCATCCTCCTTCTGCTTTTATTAATTGTACTCCTTCCATTAAAAATACATTTTGTTTGTGTTTGTCTACATTTGAGTTCCAATTTTGTACTGAAGCATAAGAACTGTGTGTGTTTTTGGCTTATTACTGCCTATCTTATCTCTGCATTTAGTACTAGATAAATAAGTACTTGAATTTTTGAATATGCAGTCATGTAGATTACATACATTAGCATATGTTACCCTGTCTCTGTGAAACTGTAGGACACATCTTCCATGAAAAATATCTGCATAAATATATTTTGTTGTATAACAAACTTGAGGAATAAAGAAGTCCAAAACTAAATTTTACTTTTGCCAGAACAGCACAAAAGCCCCTCTGCAGGCTTCCAGACAGGAACCAATCAGACAACAGTGGGCTTTCACAGAGGTGTGACCTAATGAGACATGACACACCAGGCTTGATGAGTCATGCAAAGCTACTCTGGTGGAGTCTCTGACTAAAAATATAAATTCACAAGTTTGTTTTACATATTCACAAATTGTAGGAAAGAATTTATTTTACCTTAAGCCAGCCACAGTAGAAGAAGAACTGCAGCAAGGTGAAAACGGGGACGTACAGGTCAAGGTCATGACCTTGGTAACCACGGGTGTGGTCAAGAAACTGTCGACCAATTAGACAAGCAAAGAAAAAGGTGTAGACAGCAAGAGTGACAACCTAAAAGGAGAGAGAGAGTGAGAGTGTTGTTCAGATTCCTTCTTCTCTCTGTGGGCGATTCAGAGCTCTGATTCAGTTAGTGTAATGATTATGATGTGATTACATGAGCTACATCCGTATCAAACATGCTGCTGTGGCAAGTACGAAACAGAGAGGACGGACACAGACCTGTGTGTAAACCAGAGGGACACCGACCCAGTTGTAGCCAAAAAGAGTCGCACACCAGGTCCTGAAGCGATTCATTTCCTAACACAGAGAGGAAACAGCAGTCTTTCCCCAGCTTCCAGCAAACTGTGAATTTCTGTAACTCAGTAGGCTAGTTGGAAAAAGAGTCTCATTTGCCGTTCTGGGAAAGCTGAGTGTCACATTACCTACATGTCTCCTTTATGTGGTCACAGGCTAACGGGGGTTTTAGGATCTAACTGGCTCCAAAGGATGAATGAGTGTGCTTTGAGTGCTTAAGAGCTTTTTCCTCTCTAACAGCATATGTCTGTAATCAAATGGCAGCGTTGGAAAAAATATTAAGGTTATCTGATTATACTGATCTTTAATGGCCATACTGTATTGTTTTTTACCATGATGTTATCATGATAATGTAAGATATAAGCATGTAGTTAAATTAATAGTGATACATTATGAGACGTAAGTGGCTGAGCCACAAAAATCTTTTTGCAGCTGTAAACAGTATAAAAGATGGACATAGCTTCTGGGTCTGACACCGGTCAACAAGCATTTTGGTACTGGCAGTTTTTCACCTGTGCTGTAGCAGATTTTACTTGCTGATGCCAAATGTAAAAACTGTTTTTGTTTAGCTTGTTGTGTTTTTTAGTTATGAAGTATTGGACAACTTCAATGACTGGGCAGAAACACCGATGCATTTCAGCATTTAAGAAATATGTTTATTTTCCAGAAAAGTGAAGTCAACATTAAGGAAGGTGTTTTTGTTGGTCGTGAAATACGTGAACTGATGTTTGATGACGTGTTCAAAACGAAACCGAAGCCTAATGGATCATCACCACGTGAAGCATTCATGTAGCATGTCCAGAATTTTCTTGGCAATCATGGAGCAGAGAAATTATCCACAGCTGAGCTTGTGGATAACGCGCTGAACGCATAACAGCTAATAAGTGCCAAAATATTAATGAAGATACACGCCTTACATCTCAACTTTCTTTCACCAAATCTGGTTGATGTCAGTCTCGAGGCTTCAAAATAGGGCTTCCAAAGATAGGATGTTGTCATAGAAGCTATGTCCACCCTTAGTCAATATTGCCCATTTCCAAACATGAAAAAGATAAAATAAATAAAATACCCAGGCTAATACTTTAAGCTTTAGTGTGCCCCAGGGAAGGGATTTGCTAATAAGTGACTAAATTATACTAATGATAATAAACGTCTTCATGGCAAAAACAAGAACCTGTGGTGGTGGTAAAGTCACTGCGGCGTCGTTCATCTATGCAATTTATTTCTTGTGTTTGAATTTATGCTTACAAAATCATAAAAGTGTTGTGAGTTTATGGAGATTATGTTGCTAAGCAATTTCTATGAAGCGAACCGCGGCGACGCTAACTGCCCTGTCGGCCAACAACAGTGACACATTATCCCTGCAGCGTTCTCTCGCCATAAAAGTGCATTTTTATAGTCACGTTGAGAATGTTCTGCAGGTCGATGCTGTCTTGGATGCGTCCTTCCTGCCGAGCTTTAGACGCCAGGTTGGAGAACCAGACAACAGGGATCCAGTACTTCAGGTGAGGAGAACGAACGTTCTCAAACACCTTCCTCTCCTCAGGTGTCATGAAACCTACAGATGGGGAAAAAACATTGTTTAAAATAAGTCAGTGTTGGATTCATGTTGATAGACTATTTAAATAAAATGATGGATCATATTGTTCCAAAGCAGTTTCAGACATAACGCTTCCATGCAGACAGACGTTTAGGTTTTGTTGACAGAGTATCAGCCCAAAGTACTTCTTTAATTGGCCAATAACAAGGTAGTCCCTGGAGTGATATCAGGAAGAAATTTAAGTGGCGAGGAGCCGAACTCTGACTTTTATATTTCTAGTTAAGACACATTAAGATCACAGTGTGCTCATTTTGAAATACAGCTGATACACACTAAAATACTCAGGCTCTAACCTGCCTCGACCACATGATCCATGGTCGGGAATCGTTTGCAGACAGCCGTGCTGACGGAGCGGAAGATGAGGAGCGATGTGAGGTTAACGTAACGTACCAATGTCCGGCGCAGCAGGCGGCCATATTCGTCTTTACCCTGAACACAGCTGTAGAAAGATAGAAAACAAAAATGGAGTTCATGATTATCGTCAGCTAACCACACCTTATTCTTCTTGTGTATTCAGGCTCGTTTTGCACGGGGCACTGAAGTGTTCCCAAATCACTAAACAAGACAAGGTAGCTTCTAAATAAGTTAATTATGGATTCTTAGTGGCTACATTTGTCTATCTTTGATGTAAATTCTGTGAGTTCCTGTCTGTGCCTGTAGAGGGCAGTGTTTTTGTAGTGGGTACTTGTGGCCTGTAGAGGGCACATTAGAGATGTAGACTGTACCTGGAGATGTGGAACATGAGTCTGTCCGGCCAGGGCAGGTTAACAAACTGATTCCACCACCGATTCACCACCAGAGTCACATAAAAACCTAAAACATTTATATTCAGTTAACACATAATAATTTGTAACTGTTGTGATAATGCAACCTATCCAAACAATTGAGCTCTTTTACAGCAGTAAATAAATAATCATGTCATGCTGACTTACAATGATGTTGCTGCAAGCACATTTAACATGAAGGACACATTGTGAGAGGCCCTAACCCTAAGAGTTTGATAGAGATCTTATCAAACTCTTATGATATACTTTAGTATTCAAACACAACACATGTCTGTCAGTCAGCACTAAGCACTGTTCTCAGTGGGTAATATTAGCTTGGCGTATCCTGAGATTATTATAATAACACTCTGGTTCTTTGATCCCCTGTAAATCCAACAAACTGTAAAGTGACAGCCAGGTGTTTGTTAAAATCTTAAATCTTAACCACCTGAAATATATGGCAATGACCCAGTGTGCACACATTTACAGGTGTGTATAAAGGACACACAGTGGTACTAAATACTGTCAGTGGACTTGAATCTCACACACAGTTCACAGTTGTAGCTTGAAAACTTCATGTTGCAGTTTGCAAAATACCAGAAGTGCATTTATTTCTTTTTCTGCCACATATCCAGACCTCCGTCCAACATAGTCCAGATATATCCAGACCTCCTCTGAGGTCTTCTCAGCTATCAACAGGTGATATCAGACAGGTGGATGTATGATCTAAATGTCTGCTAGGCTTTACCTCAGCCAAATGAAATTCTTTAATTCTGGACTGTGTTTGGAGCACTTTTAATACAATTATCTGACAAATAACATGGCTGGCTGTGAGGTTTAGTTTTGGTGAGTGATATTTACCTGGATGCTACTTAGCACTAATCATCAGCTATCTGTGAGTAATGCACCCACACAGAAAAACGAAAATCTATTGAAACTTGAAAATAAGCAGAGAATCAATGGATGGCATTACCTTGATTATCTCTTCTAAAGAGTGTATGTGTCCTCTAAGGACTGGTTGGATGTATGATGTTTCCTGGTCTATCCAGGGGTTCCCACACAATTTTTCCTGCTGGGAAAACCTCCAGAATAAAGCCCAGGATGCCCAAACTATGTGAAGTGACTGTTTTCAGTGCAATATTACTGATTACTGAACCTGATTTTCTCGTGAGTCCACGTTGTATATTAGAGACTCTAAGGTCAATTCACTTACTGCAAGGGCATTTTTACAGTTCATTTACTCTGGTCCAAATCAGTTGATGAGTTTTTAAACTTGTTAGTTTCCTCTATTGTCTGATTTCACACGTAGAAAAATTCAAGTAAACACCACACAAACTAAAATATGTCACTCAAACCACATGGTAGTGTGAAGTCCTCTTATTGGCCATGTGTGCGGAGCGGGAGTGACAGAAACAAAAACAGGACTATTTTTTGGATAATTCTAAAATTCATATTTATCTGGGAAATGTTTTGAGCAAAACTGTACTCTGCATATGGCTCCAAGTGTGATTAATATTTTCACATCTGAGTTTAATTTAAACAAAACTAAAGAGCACTCGCTGCAGGACACGACACCTATTTTCTTACATTGTGTTGTTGATGTCATCACAGTCATTTAGGACCATGGGTCATTTTTGTCTGGATACTTTGATAAATTGTCAACTCATGCACATGCATCTCCTGTTTTTGGCATTTACTTTAGTTACTGACACTATTTGTCTTTTATTTTCTGGAAAAACCACATTTTAGGAACTGTCAGGTTTTAATCTTTTTTTCAGTTGACAAACATAGTGAATATGCATCCTGGGATGGTGGTGGTGATGGTGGGTGGAGATCAGCTACACAAACATTCATCCTGCTTTTAGCCTTTTCTCCTCTTTAATGATCCGATTCCATTAGCAGGCTGCTAATGAGGCAACCAAACACCCCCTCTGTTCAGCTCTCCGCTCAAGCAGGAAACACACTTACAGTTATATTTGAGTTTTCATGTCGCTCTTTTTTTATTAGACTTAATTTTTACTTTAGTATAATAATAACACAGGTCGGCTACGTTCTTCAATCCCCTGAGAATCTCTCAAGTCTGAAAGGCATTAGGAATGAAATCTAGGAAGATAATAAAATGTTATGTAATCTCTTCCAGTATCTGAGAATCACTGGTTAAATGATCATAAAGCTTGTTTTTAAAATATAAATATATTAAGTAAAATATAGCAACTAAATATGCTTACTGTATAATTAAGACTTTTTCATGAATGGACAAGATGAATATCAGATATGTAACTCAACCATTCACCACCGTGACGTCTACTTTAGTCTGGAAGTGTTTCTTTCAGAACAATCGTCCATGTGATGATTCATGTGTTTTACATGTCATCAGTTCAGATAGTAGTAAGCTTTAAGGTTAGGACCTTGTGCAGACAATGGTGACTGTAGGACATGGTACACTCGACTCCAACTAAGTCCCTGAACTGGACTCTGCAACATGTTTGTGGAGAATTTTTACTGCAGTTATGTTAAAAAAATTGTGGTTTGCTGAACAGTTAAAATAATAATAATAATAATAATAATAATAAAGTCTTTTATATAAGCATTTTTCTAAACAATATTATAAAGTGCTTTACAGAAAGCATTTTTAAGAAGTTATTAAACACATCTGTCAAAAAGAAAACAATAACAAAAAAGTTGCTCTACCTTCCTGCCCAAAAAATCCACTACAACCACAGCACTAACACACTCACAGTGGCTTTACAGTTCTATGAAGTCAGACAGAAAGGTCTAACCGTGAGGTTAAAAATGGAATTAGCCTGTATGTTTCTTTTAAAAGAAAAATACTAGAAGACTATTGAAATAAAAGTAAAGCTATGGTTTGTCAGCTAACATACCCAAGACGAAGGTGACGGGGATCTGTTCAGCATATTTGTCACAGTACATGGAAAGTTTCTCAAACAGTCTCTTCTGATCCTCGGAGAGCACAATCCTAGAGGACAGAGGAAACCGTCGTCACTGCCAGCAACTAAGAATTTAACATATGAGAAATTCTTCTAAAGTTACTCTTCAGCCGATCAGAAAGTTTCTGAATGAACTACAATAAGCTGCAGGTCTGTTGCCCAATATGTGCTTCTATTCAGAAATACAAAGTCAGATAAATCTTTTTCTACACAGACATTTTCTGATATACTGTATTAGTTATTTAATATAAAACCTTTAATGAAATTGCATAGAAGGCTCACATCCTGTTTGCCTGGAGTCAGATATGTGGTTACAACTTGATGAAAGCTAAATAGTCAACTTTCATTTGTAGCATATATAAATGATAACTCAGTCATGTTGTTTGTTTTGTACAACAGTCTCATCAAGTTAATTTATTCTGTCATATTATATTTATTGTAGTGAGCTGTTATACTTTATTTAAGATATTTTGCTAAATAATGTGTTCATTGTTTTCCCTGCTGCAATAAAGGAATTTGTATGATTTACGCTTTAAAATAATCCCAGTTCATTGTATACTGGATCTTGATACTAAGGTTATGACAGAGAGCTAAAACTAAAAACTAAAAACCAAAATAAAAGTTTTGGAAAATAAAAACTTCAGAAAGAGCTGAAAGATTCAGACAGAACAAAGCTCATTTAGCTTCTTCCCCTTCTGAAACACTCTAAGATCAAACTTTTGCACACAGAATATGAACATTAATCATTTACAAGATGAAAAAAATGTTTTTGGTTGGCTCATGTTGCTAACCAAAAAGGGGCGGAGCTTATAACCACTAGAGTGAGGATATATTTTGGCTTCACTTCTTGGGACTCATCCGACATTACATCGAGTTTTGAGTTGTATCAGCCACTCTGAACAGTGTAGCAATATTTATTAGTAACTATGTTGAAATTTACAAGAATTTAAAAGAAACACTTGCATGATGCACAGCTGTAATACGACACTGTCGCTTCCCTTCCTGTGACTGTGTGTGTGTGTGTGTTTGACCTGTATACGACGCTGAGGACGGTGTACAGCAGAGCAAACAGGATGAACTCTCGGTACAGCAGCTTGTAGATGCTCCCCTTCCAGCGCAGCAGCAGCTGGTGAAAACCGAAGAAGGTGGCGTTGGCGACTTTACTGGAATAAGTAACCGTCATCCTGAGACTGAGGAGCAGACTAAGACCTTCATCCAATGGGAGCTAGTGGATAGTCCCACTGGTTTTCTGGTTACAGCCTGGATAATTAACACCACCTTAACATTATGAACATAAATGATCACTTTTGTCATTATTGCTGTATTTTACTCACAGAAAAATGCCGTTGCTTCCTCCTCAGCAGTGCTCTTCATCAGGCTTCTTTCCTGATTTCTTTTTGCCAAATGCCAACCAAACACACACTCTTTCTCTATCTCTTCCGTTCTCTCTCTCCCTCTTTTCTCTTCACCATGAAGCTGTCCAGTTGCCCAGTAATGCCATGCAGCACACACACACACACACACACACACACACACACACACACACACACACACACACACACACACACACACACACTATTCAGAGCTATATTGATGAGCCAGAAGGCTAAATGTAGTCATGTTTCAGCTGTGTGTGTGCCAGCATACATAACATTCGAGGTAAACATGTATAAACAGAAACACTATAAGAGGCAACATGAGGTCATAACACAGAGTGACAGTGAACAATCAAATAAACATAAATGTTTTAATATGACTATAAAATAATAAAGAAAGATTCATTTTAAATCTTTTTAAAAATTTGATTATAAAACATTTAAATACCAAACAGCACTAACTTTATATTTCTAAAGAGGTTTTCCATTTGCCTCGAGTCAGATGAAATTTGTTTAGTGGCATCTAGTGGACACTAGAGCAACTCAACTAATTCATGTTGAGAAATATGGAGGGCTCATGGTGCCAAAATAACAAATTAAATAAAAAATAAAAAAATAGGGTCCTTCGCAGTATCTTACCTATTCCTACACAGCAAATTCAAAAGTGTTAAATGTTTTGGTGTTAATAGTCTTCTTGCAAAAGTAGAGTTAATTTTACTCTAAGCAGAGTCACATTCTTTTAATGTAACTCTGAGGTGTAAAATGATAGTAGTTAAAATCGAGTGTTAAAAATGAGTGTTTCTATGTCAAATCTGGAGGTGTTACAATGGAAACATTAACTCTTGACCTCTTAACTCTGAACTCCTACAGGGGCTATGACACCAACAGAGTAAATTCACAGACTCCGCCCCCAGCACGGCTCCAATCAAAGCTGAAGTGAAGCCGTTTCAGAACATTTTGCTCTACATGTTTGAGTTGTTTGCGATGCTTGGTAAGTCATTTTTTCAAAGATTGTTTCAATTATTATTATGAGCTTTTACTTCTGTGGCTCTTTGGAGTTGAGACAAAGCTGTGTGAAAGGCATTAGCCATGTTGCTCGCTGATAGCATAATATTCTGTTTTAGTTAGCTGAAAGGTATTGTTTGCGGGCAAATACCACAGCCTTGAAAAAAAGCTTGCATGTGAATTTTCAGTCAAACTTTTGGTCAAATACACCTAAAACAAGGTCTAGAATGTAAATGTTGGTATAATGGTGCTACTTGAAGCCTGAAAACGATCGCCCATAAAAAAAACAAAAAAAACCCCAAAAACGAGCAAACAGCAGTAGCAGACGTCCTGACTGGGTTCTACGTTAGCATAGATCCCTCCAGAGTTTTGTGCACACGGTTTAGGTAAAAATTAAAAAGGTTGAGGTTTTACATTTAGTTCAGTATTACCTGTTGCCTGTGTCTTTGTCTTTTGGGAAAATACTTTACACAAGTAATGGCTCAAAGAGGATTCCTTTTTTTTTTTTTACTGTGCTGCAATTGTTTACTGGATTATTTGTGCCATTAATTAGTGTCAACTAATTTTTATTCAATCTCCGCACAGGATATGCTTGTGAAGATGGAATATGGGGGAGAGCAGAAGTGCGTTGCAGTTCCACAAAGGGATGAATGAAGGACATGCATATTGTATTGAAGCAATAAGTGATGAGATGCTGTTATTTGCATTTACCATGTCAGACCTTTTGATAAACAAAATTCTAATGAAAGTGAGAACATGTACACTGTTACATCTTTCAGAAAATGTTTTGAAATTGTGGTGCACAGTTCAGAATAAATGTTTTTCAAAAACCATTGCATCTTTTTAGTAAATGTTTATTTCCAAAAGAAATTTCTAGAAGTTCAGAACAGTAAAATTCCCGCTTTTTAGAATGAATTAGAAGATAACTCTTACGTAGTTAAACTAAAATAGTCTTTGAGAGTTAATATATAAACTCTTAACACCAAGTGTTAAATTATCAACTCCAGACAGATTTGGTGTTTAACACTAAATCAGAGTTAACGTACCAACTCTCCAAAAAGAGTTAAATTAACACTCTCTGGTGTGGACCCATATAGACACTTTAATAGTGTTGAAATCAAATCCGACAGTGTTAATTTGGACATGCTGGATTTGCTGTGTAGGACTGCACTCTTCTGGACAGAGATCTCAGATGTTGTTCCCGGGGTCTGCTGGAGTTACTCGCCTAGCTTGGGGGCCACTGCATCGAGTACTCAGATTACAACTGGGACCACTGTTGCCTTCACCCTCCACATCTTCTCGAGCTCTTGTGCTCCTTATGCCCTACATTGTCTCAGGAGCATCGCTGCACAGCCTACCCTTGGGGTCTTTCCTGGTGTGGTAAACCCCAACCTTTTTTGCTTTTGTGCTCAGAGCGTGTTACTGTGAGGTCATGGTCAGTGTCCCTGTGCTGGCTTTCAGTCCAGGTTTGTCAAGCCACAGTTTCAGATTGAAGAAGTCAGTTGGATGACTCATGAAACGTAGTCAGTATCTGTAGCCAGTCTTGTTGATGGGGTTCAGTACAGCAGCGGGATCCAGGCCTGATCTGCTCTTCATTTTTTTCGTGTTTATATCATGTGAGACAAATGTCTTGGTGCATGTTCAATCATCCGAGGAAGGAAATCCCAAAAAGTTTCTTTTCTTCTGGACGTAACGTTTTTATTGGGAGAAACGTTTCATCACTCATCCAAGTGACTTCTTCGGTCTAGGTGACTGCAGGTTTTCCCAATCTTATAAACAGTACATTTGCATAATGACTGAAACTAGCACCACTGAAGGAACAAAGGGCTTGGAGGTCAGTGGTTGATCAACAATCACTGATGAAGCAAAGCACAGCAGGACAGCTGCTCCTTAAGACAAATATTGTTCCTCTTCTTCTCAGAATCCAAGCTGGGAGCTGGTTCCACAGACGAGGGGCCTGAAAGCTGAAGGCTCTGCCTCCCAGTCTACTTGGATGGGAGGCAAACACATAAAACTTAGCACTGCCGTTCCTGAAAAAAACACCTCTGCTCCAAAACATATTTCAGAAAGCAGTTGCACATCTTTAGACACAGAGAAGGCCTTCGGTAGAGACAAACAGCACTGTTTGTTCAATGTGTTATGAGTTCATGTCAGGAAAAACATCACAGAGATCATGTGACATTAAAAAACTCGACTGCAGGAATTTTACAGCAGAAATATTACCAGTGTGAGGCTCTGCCACTGCTGCTGGTCACGCCTTATCAAACCTTATCCAATAACTGTACAGTCGCACTGTCCCTAAAATGTCTGTTTTCTTAGAAGACATAATGATAAATAAATGGTTTTAAAGTGCTTTTGTGGATATTTTGTTGACTCCATTTACATATGGGGGGATTTTGACATATTTTTGTCACTGAAGAGGTATGTGCCACCCTACCTAGACCTTAAGCCTTTCCTTTGGACCTCTGATGAAAGAAATTACTCATAGATTGATGTCTACACCCATTTAATAAAGTAAAAAGGTCAATATTTAAAAAATAATTTTGCATGTTTGCATGTTGTATGTTTTGAACAGATATTCATCAACAGTATTTTCAGTATTTTTCATTAGTTATTATTTTTATGAGGGTTTTTTTTTATTCAGTTAACTTTTTATTAGTATATTTACTTTTAGTTTTGTTTTCGTTAGTTTCAGAGTAAGCTTTGAGTTTATATTCAGTGTAATGTTGGGATATTTGTTTAGATTTAGTTCAGATCCCAGTCTTGTAGAAACCTCTGCACTGCTTGTTCTACTCAAAAATCTAACCAAAGTTAATTCGCTTAGACTGACCTAAAGACCTTTCTCTTGGATCTGAGTTGACCATGGTATCATTGTAAAGGATACAGCAGGAGGTTTTGTTCTATATAGTGGAATATCCCAGGAGTCAAATCTTGGCCTTATTTTATTTTCTATGCTGTTTGGGTCATATACTCTACAACCATGTTCACTTCAGCCATTATGTTGATGTTATGCTATATGGTCCACTATCTCAAATGTCTTCTATGATGTTTAGTGCTATATGTATCAAATCTTCCTTCATCACACCGAACTTCTCTAAGAAATTAATCAAGCAGAACATTCAAATATGGAAACAAAATTTTCTGTTCAGAAATGCAATTAAATAACTAATTCAACATCTTAGAAACATAAAATGACTCTGATAATACCAATACTGGCTGTAGGCTTGCCACTCAGATAGACATTAGAAACAGTACTTAAGCTTTCTGTCTTCATCTTTCTAAACAAAAACATCTTTTTTAAAACATTGTGAATGGGTGGATACTTGTTTAAGAGGAATGAGCTAACTTTTATCCACAGCAAGAGCTTTTTTCAATATATGAAATTAAAAAAAGATATCTCTTAACATTTGTCACAAGCTAACATAACTGAATTTTAAGTTTTAAATTTAGAAGCAGTTATGCTCCTGTATAAGACCTTGCATGTAGTTATATGTACTGTTTATGTGGTGATTTATTCGTGCATTTATTCCAGAGGGTTTAATATAATATTATGGAAATGCTTTTAATTTTAAATCTGATGAGACACTTGACTCTTTTAAAAAGTGGAGACTGAAATGAACCGATGACTGTCAAAGTAAGATGTTCCAGTCGTGTGAGTTTAAAAGCTGGTGGGGTTCAACGGTTTATTTAACACAGTTTGCAAATACCATTCAGAGTACATTCATCTTAATTATTGGTTTTGTGTAAAACATTACAGTGTGGCTGTAGCATAGTGGCACTACGGGAATCCCCCACATGCACCTGCACACATTGTTTCTTTGTTCTGAACCACAGACCACACCCTATCAGCACAATAATCAACTGCATGTGTAAATAACCACCTGCAGTGTCTGGAGAAATGTATCCTCTTTAAGAGCTTTAAAGTCTCTAAAGAACTGAACACTGTAATGATCTGATAGATCTTGAGCCAATTGCATGAAGAGAAAAAGACAAATGTTGATGTGGATGCTCAGTTATGAAGAGCCCACAGTTTCTTCTAAGCCACAACATTTCTGGTAAATGTTATAATGCAGCAATGATATCATACTTTTACTTTTACGTTC